TACTCAGAGAGCAGCTGGTTGTCGTAACGTGTCGTAACTAGATCGGCAAATGCTTTTGGGAACAGACATTTGAGTAAGTATGGGGCCCTAAAACAATACCAGCAGAAATATCTTCTTCTACAGTGACACCAATGCCTTCTGTGAGTTGTGTGTCACACATGTGGCCCAGTGTTACATGTTACAACGTTAGCAAACACAAGTAAAGACAAAAGAACATTCTCTACTTCCTCTTTTCTCCCCATTAATATTTGGTGAGTGATTCAAAGGAATTGTGTTTAGAAAAGCGAAACGCCTTCTTTCACGTCAGAGAAGAATGACTTTCTCTTAATCGACTCACTTCTCTGATAAGGAAGCTGCTGCGAGTGACTGAGTTTATTTACAAAAATCCTCCCCTTCTTAAATCTCATTTTCATACTCAGAGGCATCACGCTGTGTTTATGGTGACATTTTATCCTCCAGCCTCATTTTTGATTTATGGGGATGCAGCAGCTCAGCAGCATTTTAATGGAAGAAGAAACAGTAAATGAGATCAGTCAGGTTTCAAATCACTTATTTACTGCTTAAAGGAATAAAAGGTGAACATTAGGTTGCTGTCCAAGTTGTCAGATACAAATGTCACAACTTCAGAACTTTACTTTTAAATTGAATTATCCTTGTTGAGGATGTTAGAGTGTGTGTGTGTGGATGTGTACAACAGCCTTCACACTGACTAGAGGGATTCGTTTAAAAAAACCTAGATTAGACAGGAAAACAAAACTTCTTGCACACAGACACCATCCTCACAGAAGCGATGGTATTAACAACCAATGCTGCAGTGAGGAAGGCATAAAACAGCAGCGAAGGGAATTCCTGTCTTCATTAATTGCCATCAGGATAAAAATAGATGATAATTATAAAATGAACCTAGAGCAAATTAAATAGATCTAAATTTAATAGAAACAATCTATAAAAAGTGTTTAAACCATAGATCACACGTCATTATTATTATTATTATTATTATTATTATTATTATTATTATTCAAAACCAAACAGACTCTCAGAATCTCAGCCTACGTCCTTTAATAGAATCACTCAACCAAACACGTGTTTGATAAAATGTTTAATTCGAAGTTGAACCACTAATGGTGTTCTCCTTACTGGACGTATTTCTCCATACAAACCACTGGAGCCCTATGCATTCTATAAAGTGTTTCCTCCTCACTCAGTGGCTCAGGACATGCAGTCTAATCCTCTCCATGACTCTGTACTGTATCTCTCCCAGGCCATTTTAACACCATGCAGGGTGTGTGATTGAACTCTCCCAGGCACATTTTGAGCTACACAAGTTGTAAAGGGCTGAGGTCCAGAAGCTATCCTGCGGCCTGCAGACGAGCAGGGTGCAGGTTAATGAAAACATCAGGTGATTCCCTGTCAAACTCAGGCACTACCATGAGCACAGCCCCCTGAAGACCAGGCTGAAAACACCCCACACCAAACAGACACAGGGCAGACTGTACACATCACTTCTTCATCTGCTTTGGGCTTTTACACACAATGGAACTAACAACATTATTTCGCATCAAGCATTTTATGCAAATGTCTGTAGAAATACTTTCTGACTTTTGAGTCCATTATCTTTGGCATCCAATTTTCAGGAGAGTGACTGCGTTTGCGCTGAATCTGAAAAGACCCATCGCAAAGAGTGGGTTTTAAATTTATTTATTTATTTGGGGTAACTGAATGTCCTCTCATATTATTGGCTACACTCCAGGTGAGTGTGTATTTGTAATCCATTCAGGCACAGCCATTTAGACTGCTTGTACATCTAAAGAGGTGCTGCATATAACAGAGGAGGCTGTGTGAAGTCGATTTTATCTTCTGATGATGATGTCTCTGCAACGTGTTTTTTCTAAAACCCGATAAACAAACGTCCAGTGGACACAGTAGGGTCACATTTATTTCTCAACCAAAGAAAATTTCAATTATTTTAACAAAAGATACCACTGTGTGCAGTGTCCACGTGAACAGTGAGTTAGTTTAGTGACATAAGACGGTGGAAGGTTGTACAACGACTCATGTTTCCTGTTTACAGAAGAACTGAATTCCTTCAAGACCAGTGAACAAAGGATGTCAAGGATTCATGGTGAACCTTTTTCACAAAAGGTTAAAAAAAAACCTGAACAAAAACAGTTTGCAATGCAAACAAAAAGAACTGTTGTGAACACATCAGGGTTGGCAGACAGTTTAAGGTCTTCGGTATCATTCAGTACAGACTAAACTCCTGTCTGTACATTGTCTGCAGACGAGAGTGAACTTTAAGGTGAGTGACAGCTCTTTTTGGAAAAGTACATTGTACTGTATTTTAGATATGATCGCAAAACATCTTGGTACATTTTGAATTATTGTAACCTGCTTTTGGTACACTATCATTCAACTTACTTAAGACCAAAAGTATGATTTTCTATTTTTTATTAATCTAGTAACGTCAAAAACATTTAAATTCTGTAAATGAAGATAACACAAGGTATAGTTAGAAATGCCAAAGTTTAGCACAATTGGTTTCTGTGTACAATTTAGATTTATTCATAACATGTCATAACAAGGCCACTGCAGTTAGCCAAAGAGGAGAATGTAGAACTACTAAGACCGATACAACAGCTAACTAATATTCTAGCCAAAATTGAAACGTATTAATACATTTAAAAAATGAATAGAAATGGGTTGACTTAAAGCGAGGCCATACCATTGTATAACATTATTAAAACATTTTTTAAAGCAGCAACTAAAACATAAATGTTCTTTATGCCTTAAATTAGTTTAAAATGACAAGAGAAAAATGATGCAAAGACCATTGAACTCAGTTTGTGGATATATTCTCTTAAAGGAAGGATTTGAAAGGATGATTACTGACAAAGAATACAATATTTCTTTTTCATCAATGTTCTTCACTTCACGAGGTCACTTAGTAAGACACTGAGACATCATGAAGCTCAGTAACCGCCTGCTCTGATACAGGGACATTTTGAAAGTATATAGATTTTCAATTTTCCCCACTGGCTCAGTCCTGGGGACAATTTTTCATTGTCCACTGGGAATATTTGTCACTTTAGAAAGATCACTACATTCAACTAAGTGAAAGTCAATCAGGGACATTTCCTTCAAACTCCATTGGCATGAAGAAATGGGACATTATATGCAGAGAAAAATCCCTCTGTTACACTTTAAATTACGTTAAATCAATCCTGTTGCTATCTCACAGGACACATGGCTTTCTCTTAATTATTCCCATTAGCTGCTGAGCAATCTCCAGCATGTATCACTGTCCACTGAATTGACAAGGATGTAAGGTGTGACTTTAATAGCTCACTGAGAGTGCGAGCAGGAAATGAGTGAGTTCATCCACATCCTCCCACCGACAGGGAGTTGAGGGCAATTCAGGAAGCTTGTAAAATAAGTGTAGAGAACAATCAGCGCAGTTTGTTGACATGCCGACAACTTGTTAATAAAAATGTTATAACAAACAACGTTGCTGCCTGTGAAACATGCTCAGAGCTGGACCTTGTTCTTCTGGGGTGGAGGCGTCAATGAGAACCTGACATCTCTTTCTCCTCCCTGCGAGTCAATGATGCTATCTCATGTGGAGCATGGTAATCAATAGGAACACATAAGCTTCTATTTCCAGTAGTGCAAAGCTCTGAGATTTATTAAGTTAATTAACTGGAAGAGGGAAAAAAACATTTATTAAGTTAATTAACTGGAAGAGGAAAAAAACCCAAGAGATGTAATCATCCCACCCTCATTCTCTTCTCTGCACTCCCTCTCTCTGTTTCTGCATTACTTCAGAGATCCAATAATTGCCCGAGAGCATTCTGTTCTTAAAATACAAGTAAATGACGGCCACAGTCCACCAGCGTATAAACAGAAAATATTTAATTTCCTTGTTTGTGTAATAGAATAATTGTGATAGAAATCTCAGGGTAATGGCGTTGCTAATGTCACGTTGAAAGCAGTGTTTACCCACAAACTCGACCGCCTCAGTCTGTTTCTGTGATTGGACAGAGAACTTAAGAAAATGACTCTCAAACAATACATAAACAGCAGAGAAACAATGGTGGTTATTTTCTCATTCTTCTAATGAATCTGACTTTTTAAAAGTCTATATGATAAAAATAGGAAAAATCAATTGGTAACAAATACGTTACTTTTAATTACTTCCATCGTATGGTATCGTAAACCTATTCTCTGTAAAAGGTTTATGAGGTGGGTTTTTTTAGCACACAGCAGACAACAATTCTAGTGTTGAAATAATAATGTGTTCAAAAACCTTGTCTTCTCTGCGGTGAGTTGTTCACAGGTACTGCTGGTCTAAAGTTTAGAACACTGGCACATCATTTTTCTTCTCTCTAAATCTAATCCCATGTCGGATGAGATTATTAACAGAAAATCTGTCTGGAACGGAGCATTTTAACTCAATAATGTACCGACATGAATCTTTAAACGAGGATATTCAAAGAGGCCTTTATTCAAGGCTGCGTCCCGTCTGCCCTGCTGCTGCAGCAGCAAACACCTCCACGTCGTGACAGGATCTCTGGAGGACAGTTCGCATCTCTGAAAGCACCAAGGTGACCTCTGCTGTGTACCACAGCGCTGAATGCACCCGTGTGATAAGATAAGAGTGGGGCATAGAGTTACTGCCCCAGAGACACAAGCTAAAGAGGAACAAGCTTAGTAAGCACAGCGCTAAGGTGCTATCTAATTCCACTGTGAGAATTCAGTGTAGTGTCACGTTATTTATAGATATGAGACATTTTCTCCATGTAAAAATTAGATAAAAAAAACAGCAAGGCTACCACATCCCCAAATCATATTTCATCCCAGGCTGCACACACGTACAAATTGCATCACTGAGTATAACTATGAATATGGTGATATAAAAATACATATTTATGCTAACGTATGTATCCAATTACTGTAGGTTCAACTATCTGAAGTGTTTATTGGCAATCGCCGGCCTTCCCGTGGACACAGTGACCCAACTGTGCCAGATGCAGTCATGAACATTTACCGGTGTGTAGTAAAAACCCAAAGTCAGATTTATGCCTTGTTGTGCAGAATAAATGTGTTCAGTGACAGAAACAGGCAGAAAATAATACAGCCAGACAATCTCCTTGACCATGGCTATATTTTGTCATCTAATGTGAGTAACAGCCTCGGCCTCTATGCAGATATTTTATCTCCAGCTGTAAAACTGTCCCCTTCTGCTGCTTTGGCTAGTTTATATTTAACTCTGTGAGTGCAGTTCATTGAGAATTACAGGTTCACAGCACAGGATCACATCAAGGACCTCTGAGAAGGTGTGTCTCAGCCACTTCAGAACCGATACAAAGAAATGAAAACAATGGAACTGCACTACAGCCATTCATAAAAAGACCTCAGGTCAGTTCTAATTGTGTTCTGTAAGCTGGGACACTTTTGCCTTAAAGAGCATGTTAAACAGTGTATGAACCTTTTTTAACATTTATTCCTTATGTCAGAAACATACAGTAACGACAGAGACTGGACATGTGAAGGGACACTGCCTCCATGATTAAACTCCTTCTGAAATCAAAGCTGACTGAAGGCAGCTCTCTGACACTGTCATCATTGTAATCGTTGACCTGAAGGACAGCATTCCTCACTGCACTCTTCCATTTCATTGCTGCCATGGCTGGGGGTAATTCTCAGCCACACACCACTAAATCAATTGGCACAATGGCAGCTTTTAGACAGGACGTGTTAGTCTTCTCTACACAGCAAAAGTGCTACTCATAATTATCAGGACAGCGGCGATGCCTCACACTTTGGCTGCAGTAAACAAGACGTGTTTATTAAAATGGACAAAAGAAACCTTTTACAGTGAATCAAGCTGGAAACATGGCTTTTATACCAGAATCAGTAAAGCTGGGCTAATGTTTACTGAAGTATATATACAAATAGTATCTATCTATTTTTTTTTACCTACCATGAATTACACATCTCAGGTTACACTGAGACCTAATTTTATTTCCTCAAATGAAACCTTCCAGTTTATATTTTTTTACAGACGGTTTGAGGAACTTTGAACCTTATCTTCTGTGAACAGTGATGACAGAAGTTAGTCAGGTGAAAACTGTGCCCGTTTGTTGGTTTGACCTCACCTCTGTGTGACGGCTACCTGGCTGAGCAGCTGTAAAAAACATTACTGATTATTATCATCCATCACTGATGCACTGTGAAAAGTCCTAAAAAAGGAAGTAAACAGTTTAAATCAACTTTAGGGACATAGATTTTGCCACTTTTTAGTTAACTTCATTGTTATCAGTGCATAATTGTTGATGTTTTCTCCCATGATAACAAGCAATCGTTGAAATAATAACAGTGTTCAGAACCGGGGGTGTATCTTTTTCATTTGATGGTCAGTCAATAATGTTCTATTAAAGCTGCAGCCAGGAACTTCAATGATTTCTGTTGTAGATGTTATTATTCTGTCTCCGGCCGTAAACAGAAATGATGTAACACTGTGTGCATGCTGTGTCTTATCTGAAAACAGCCTCCGTCAACCACTGTTATCAGACGTGCCTGGGTGAGGGAGCAAGAGGTGTTTATCCTCGCAACAGCTTTATGTCCATATTTTAGCAGCAGAGTCGACTTCTCGGCCTCTTCTCCCAGTCATTCTTTAAACTTTTCCCGCATCTTCGCACACTTTTTCCTGGAGTGTTCCCTTCTTGCTTCTAAATCACAGCACAAAACCAATCACTTCCTGTGTGCAGCACACATATGTCACAGGGTGGGGTTAAATCCAAACACTTATCAAACTCTATAGCACCAATATTTTTTAGAGGAGTTCACTACATCAAACATAACACAACAGTTCCACTGAACATGAACACAGCCCTCATCACAGCACTGCAGAGCCGGCAGCCAATCCAGATCCTTATTTGGTTTTCTGGGCACTGTTCAATGTCACCTGTCGACTCTTATGATAATTAGATAAGGACGATGATGACTGCACCAATCTGACTCTTCAGTCCTGAGAACTGTCCAGTACCCAGACTGTGAGCATTAACTAATACCAATCTGATTAAAATGATAAACTCTATACCTCACTATTTGGCAGAGACTGGAGGCACAGGGCTTGACTTCAATGTTACTTCCTGACTTTTCAAAAGAACATTTTCCAAGTTAATACATGGGCAGACATTTCACAGAAATCAAAATCAAATGTAAAACAAAACAGTTGACTGAAAGGAAATGTTTTATATTCTTAATGTGAGTCTAATATCTTCCACAGTCATTGAGTTTATATTCAGTGATAGTCAGATTCACTGCTGCAACCAGTTGAATGTTAAACACGTGGATGTTGTTCTTTTTCATAGCTCATTCGCTTTTCCACAGATGCCATTAGAAAAATAATGCTGTTTTGTGTCAAAGACGAAAACAAGTTGTTTCGTTCCACTTGCGTTATGTTGAATTTCTAGCATGTGTAGACTAAGAGCAGCGATGTATGTGTGTGTGTGTGCGTGCGCGCAGACAGAAGAGAAAGCAGCTGGCAGGCACATTTCTTTGTCAGACGCATCACTCACTGTTTAGAGCTGAGGCAGCGTTGTCTTCACACACACACACACACACACACAGATGCTCACCAACACTTGACTCAAACTCCGTTTTTCTTCAGACTCAAACAGACTGTGCATCAAATCAAACATCATACATCAGCCCGCGGTCTGTTTGGCACATATATCAGACTAAATGATGGATTCAGTCATCACGCAGCACTCCACCATGGTTTTAACGATTATTCTTGCTGTCAGTTAATTATTGACCTGAGCAGTGAGAGAGCTGTAAATAATTAACATGCAGACCAAGTTCTGTCAGCCTGAGAACAATCAAAGCAAAATGTCAGAACTATATTGACGTAAGTCTTGAATAGTGCAGTGCACGGCAACTGTGTTCATTCAGAGCCTTTGACTCTCACTCTGCAGCTGCAGAGGCTGCGGACGATACATGACAAAATACCAGAGCAACAAACAGATCGGCCAATGTAACCTCTGTATGATTGGCACATTCACAAACACATGTTGATCCACCAGGTCATGGCTGCTGGTGCAGCCCCAATACAATGGGCATACAAGATTATAATCTGAGTGGCATGTGCAATCATACTTTGGTTCTACTTTTCCCTAACCCCAAAGAAGATCCAGTTATGATACTGAAAATGTTTTCTTTTTCCAGTTGCCATTTAAAAGGCCAACCGTCTCTTCCCTAATACAGTACCGTGGTATCATACGATACCATCTTCCTATCCTCCCAAGACCTTTGACCTAGGGCCCCCACAACCCACAAGTTGAACACAAATGGATAACATAAAGAAGAAATATAGAGCTACTTTAATTCATTTTCAGATACTTTCCATTTAAACTGAATAAACCCAAGTTAAGAATCTTAAGCACCACATGTTTAGTTGAACATACCAAACCTTCTCTGGACTTTCAGACACCTTGAACTAATCCCACTCTCCACTTATTCAATGTTTCTCTGAAATACAGACACATCATTTTCAGTACAGTACTGCTGGATAAAGTTTTTGTTCAGCTGAAGCACCTTAGCTTAACACCCAGCATGTGTCAGGTCAGCCTCACTGAGTTCAGTTGACAGGCTGACAAACAAACCTGACAAACGGACTGTGAAGGACTGTAGACTAAATGATATTCATTTCATTTAAGTTTTAAAAGCAACTCCAGTCTTATCAACAGTTCTAGACCAGTGTTCGAGGTCATGATGAAATAAAAATGTGGCACTGAAGTCTGTATTATCAACAGTGGAATAAGAAGATGATTTTCCGTAGTAACCTTTCATCACTGCTTCAAGTGATGTATTGTCTCTCATGCTGGGTTTTCAGGAGGTTGTGGCAGATGAGATTTGTTTTTTATTCTTTTGACATTTTCTGTTAATAGCTTGGTTTCATTTACATTAAATCACTCTTTGTATCTAATTGCTTTTTGGAGTTTATTACAAATAGCACCTTGACAAGAAAGGTCAAAATTCCTTTGTGACACTGATGAATATTAGCAGTAGCCCGTCGTCTACGTTAGCATACCAAATGGTTTTTTGAGAAAGGAGTAAACAAATGCTTCTCAGTTGCTTGCTGTGCGAGTTCTGCTGGTTGTTGACAGCACAGATGTCTGAGTGAGGGGAGTAAGGAACGGAGACCATCAGCACAAACACCTTACGCTGCACACTGACATATGGACGGCCTGTCAATTGCAATTTTTAATTTGATATTTCTCATCCACGGGACCGTGGCACAACATGCTGCCCGCAGTCTGTATAATCAAATTACCAGAGCATAAGTAATGGCTGGACATACACCACTGCTTCTCCTGACTCAACGTCTAATTCTGCCACGCTGGCTGAGTGGGGACTAAAACAGGATTTATTTGAATTGATAACTGCATGCAGTCCTCCAGAACAGTGTTTCCTGACGACTGGGTCCAGACCTACAGATCGGTCACGTGACATCATTTTTATTCAGCCTTGTACCCTTGATTTATGTGTACCTGGTTTGAAAAAATATGCTTAAATGTAGCTTCGGATGCTAGCTCTAACTGAAATATTGCTAAAGATAGTTAAGTGGGGATGACACTGTGGATTTGATGACAATAGTTGGAAAAGTTACTGAGCAAAGATAATAACTGCTTTGTTTTTTTTTGTTTGTTGTTCACAATGCCTGCAATGCAAATGTTTTCATAGAGCTCAGTTGAGTGTCCTTGCTCTCCGGCCCACTGTGGACTCCACCACCATACAGTATGAGTTAGTCAGCACACAGACTCCAGGAATCTTCCTAACGGCCGTCACCTAAGCTCTAATGTGTTAGCCTTGTTCTGCTAGATTAATCACAGTCAATATTAATTACTACTAATCAATGCTGTGCAATCCCTCTCACCCTCCGAGGAGAGCAGCAAACTGATGAAATTAATGAAGTGCACTCTTTGCGACTTCAGTCATTGGCTTTGGGTGTTGGCCAACATCTGCTGAGGGAGTTCTTGGTTGTGGTGCTGCAGAAAACTGCATTAGGGGAATGGAGTGATTGATGTAATATCTCTCCAGTGACTGGAGGACAGATATGTATTGTATTAGGCCCTGAAGAGCGTTTAAGGAATTTAAATCAAGCTCAGAAAGAAAGATCAACAACACAAGCAGAGAGTTTAGCATGAAACATGGATTTTTGACTGCCAAGGACATTACATACAGACCACCCCACAGGGACCACAGCCTTTTAAAGTCCTGCTTGTCTAGGATTTCATTGCGGTAATAGGATTTATCAATAATTTGTTCAAGCATGTGCTGCTCTGCAAATGCAGCGATGATTACCGGTGCAGACTTCTAATTGCTGTGTAAAAAAGAGCTGAATTACTAATGTATCAACATGTATTCAACGGGTCGGTTTGTTTGTTCAGAGCCACTCAGTCTAACCAAAACACTCATTACAATCTTTATAGACAAGACCTTCTTCAGGGTTTGATTATTGAAGGACTTCTGGACCATGAGAGCCTCACTTCAGTTTTAGTCACTGAAAATATTGTGTCCATAACAACAGGAGCGACGGTCACCATCTACGTCATACATGCTACACTTGACTTTAAAAGTTTTCCCCACATAATCTTTACTTTTTGTAGCCACTGTTTTCCAGTACAGTACTCTCATAGTATGTAATCAAGTATAGCACTGAGAATGACAATACTCCTCAATACTGTATACTAAACGTTGCCATACTTTACCTAATGTAAAGTACCAGCCTGTTTTATAATGTATGACTAGATATACCACGCCACACGGCTACTGCTACTCCGTGGAATACTTCAGGGTACAATACTGTACTAAAGTACTATACTACAAAGTACATTACCAATGTTTTTTGGGAGTAAGTTTTGCAAAAAGATATTTTGCATCTCAAAAAGTTCTTCTTTATTCTATCTTCTTCTGTATTTTTTTGTCTAACCTTAAAAAATGTAAAGAAACCAGTCCAGTCTGGAGACTGTGAGTGATGAGGTCACACTGTGCATTATCATGGTTGAATTGACTGACCATTACATTAACATTTTACAATACACACACACAAAGTTCTGATGCAGAAATTAATGCAATCAATCATTCTCGGTCAAACATCAGTCTTTGTCAGAGTCAATGTGGACTTCCTGTCTAGAGTGCACACAGGAAGGAGGTCTGTTTTAATGAATCTGATATTTGTCCTGAGCTGCTCTGACCGATCAACACGACACGCTCCCACTAAACAATGCTCCACGTCCATATGTGCTTCAATCTGTGTTTCGGTGCTCCCTCTACGTCTGAGAGCTGACGTGTCGGCCCTGCACCATCTGCTGAGTCATGTCAGGCCGTCAGCACAAGCGTAAAGGTTAAATTATTGAGACGGTGTGTGTAACCTATTGAAACCTTTATTTCAAAGCCACAATGACAGCCATGACAACAATGTCTTTCAGTTCACTGCAAGTTTGTTGAAACCCAACCTAAAGTTGTATCGGAGAAGAGTACAGGTATAAAAATACTTGTTCTTATATTGGTTTGTGAATGGTACGAGGGAAATCCTAGTATTCTTACAATCCTTATACTTGTTTTGTACTTAAGTTGAAATAATCAAAAGTAGCCGAACTTTTTTACCATGAAGACCTATCCATAAGGACCGATGTTTCTCTGCTGAAGTGTCTCTAATGTA